GGCCTTGCGCGCCCCGCCCCGCCCTCCTCGGAGGCGTCCCCGCTTGCCCCTCCCCCTAGGGCCCACACATCTTTTCCCGCTCTTCGCCGCCCCCGCCCTCCCAGGGCTGCGCGGCGGGGCCATACTTCCCACCGTCCCTATTAGCCCCGCCCCTCCAGCCCATGCTCCCCGTCCCGCCCTCTGCGGCTCCCTGAAGGAGTTCTGGGGTCTGGCCTTGCGCAGGCCAGCGATGGTCCCCTCTGGCTACCTTGCAGAGAAGCGAGGCTAACCAACCAGTTTGCACCTCCTACTCCAGGACAGGAAAGAGGAACGAGTTAGGCCTGGGAGATGGGGCTTGGGAATAATAGAAAAGTCTGGGAGTAAAATCGCCCCATGAACCTTTAGACCTTCTGGCCCTCTTGGCTTTTGGCCACCTCTTTTCTAGTCTGGCTGCCGAAAAATCAGCTCGGTTATCTCAGAGCAGTCGGGAGAACGCAGATCTGCCCGCATCCTTCTGCTGCTCATATTCTCCCAACAGGGGAGACGGGGATGAGGGACTGATGGGAAAAGAGCCAGAAACTCAGAAACCAGAGAAGAGGCAGGAGCCATGGCAGGATCCTCTGGAGCGGTGCCTGCACTTTGATACACACGTCCTCCACCCTTGTCCACATCTCCCCAGACACACTCTTCTTACCTCACCTCCACTCCCAACCCTCAAAGATATTGAAAGGGACCCAAGCTTGCTTGTCTCTTTTATTGAAATATATTTTCTGGGCAGTACCTAAGTGAGTGTGGCCTCTTTGGCACTGAAAGCTGGAGAATACAAAATCATCGGTAAAAAAAAAAAAAAAAAGCCTGAATTTTCGGAGTGCATCAGCACTGAAGGCCTTTGGTATGCGAGAATGAGGAGGGCATGGAAACCTGCCTCAGGGGACAGGGAACAGGCTGCTGTAGATGAACTGCCCCATGACCAAAGCCAGCATCTCTGAGGTGCTGCTCAGCGCCACAATGAAGGGGGCCTGGGAGGCATAGTCAGCCTGCAGGCGGCGGAAGGACAGCTGGAGCACGGCCAAGGCCAGCAGGCTGTTCTGCACGCCAACCTCAATGCTGACTGTCCGCCGCTGTGCCAGGGGCAGTTTCAGACATGTGGCCAGGCAGTAACCCACCAAAAGGCCCACTACGGGCACTGTGAGGCCCACCAGCACAATGGGAAGGCTGACACCCTCCAGGATGAAGACACCCATGCGATAGGCCAGGAAGAGGCCGCCCAGGAGGAGCGCAAAGCTGAAGGGCTTGATGGCCTGTAGCAGCAGCTGTGAGCACCTGGGCAGCTTGGACCTGATCACCACTCCGGTTGCTATGGGGATGGCAATGAAGAGCAGCGTCCCCAGGATCTTGGAGATGGGCACATGGAGGGTTTCATGGATACTGAGCAGGTGACTGTAGATAGCAGAGGACAGTGGCAGGAAGCCAGTGGCAGCCACTGTGGAGATGAAACTCATACAGATAGCAAGGGTGACATCCCCCCCAAGAAGGAGACTGAAGAGGTAGCTTCCCCCCCCACCAGGTGAAGAGCAGGTGATGATGAGGCCCAAAGCCAAGGCATTGGGGAGCATGAAGACCTTGGCCATGAGGAATGCGTAGAAGGGCATGACCAGAAACTGGCCGAGGAGGCCCAGCAGCATGGGCTGAGGGCTCTGCAGGAGCCCCTTCAGCACCTCGAGCTCCACTTTGCACCCAAAAGAACACTTGTTGACAAAGAGGAGAGGCAGGAGCAGGTAGAGGATCGGGTTGTCTGAGAAGTGCGCCAGTTCGGAGCTGAGGGTGGGTGATGCTTCCTCTGAGGGCAAAACCCGGACACGGAAGTCCCTCCGCTCCTCAATTAGCCGCGGCGGGGTTTTCTGCAGGTCCATGAGCTGCAGGTGGAGCGGGGCTACCCCTGCCAGGCCTGAGTGGATGCTCACCACGAAGTCGCCCCCAGCGCCCCTGCTGTCGGCACTGACATTCTGGATCTTCAGCACCATTGTGTCCAGCGAGGTGACCCTAAGTGCGGGGCTGAGCCCAGTGCCGTTGCTGTGGCCAGGGTACAGGCTGGAGACCACAATGACGCCTTTAGTGTCCTCGGGGAACTCAAATTCCTTCACTGAGCCATCTCCAATGCTCAGGTAGTGGCCCTCTGACAGGGGCACGGGGCAACCCACAGCTCGGCTGGCACCGGCACTGGCTGCTCCTTGGACTTCCCACAGAAGGCTGGCAAGAAGCAGAGCCGCTCCAAGCATGCTGAGGGGGCCTGGCTGGCTGCTCTGGTCACCTCGGCCAGGTCTCCCGGACACCATGGTCACTCCTGAGTAGCTGTGCCGTGCCCAGGGGTGCTGCAGCTCAGCAGTGTCTCAGCATGCGCCGTCAGCTGCCTGCGAGCAGGGAGCACGGACAAGCCCGGGTCTTGGAATGCCTTCCTGGATGGTAGAGATTTTCCTGAGGAGAGGAGGGACAGAGAGGGGGCTGGTGAGGGACAGCAGCACAAGCCTGTGAGCCTGGCCCTTTGGAAACTGTGGTGTGAGGATCAGGACGCCTGTGATGGGAAGCTCTGGAACAGTTCCTGGTCTCAAGCCTGTATCAGAGGGGAGACGCCTAGTGCTGGCCCTTGAACGCCATTCAGTTGCCCCGGCTCCTAGCAGGGCTGCCCCTATTTTCCCATATGATGGTGTGGTGACCCAGTTCTTGTCCAGAAATGCCACAGATACAAGTTCCTGTCAGCCACCATCACTTGCTTTTCCTGATTTTGTCCTGATTTCAACAGGTAAAGATAGCCACCCCAAGCCTGTCACCACACGTACCACACCTGGAGTCTGCTGCAGTTCAACTGGATGATGCGTCCTGAATGCCACCTGAGGAGAGTGAAGGGTGCTGCCCGTGTGGGTCTGGGAGCCAAGTGCCTCCAGGTAGGTGCAGAGCAGTGTGTGGGTGATGAATGGGTGGATAGCCCAAGACTCTGGTCTGCTGCCAAGTGGCAGCTGGGAAAGGGGTTGGAACGGTCAGCCAGCCTACTTTACCTGCTGACCGCGGTGAGAAGCAGGGGTCCTGGGAAGCTGCTGGAGGGAGCGGTGGAAAGGGGTTAAACAAGGCTAGATGGCTGATGAGGGGGTTCCCCTTCTCCTGAGAGGGCGCCCATTCCTCTTGAAATCCGTGAATTTGCATTCTGGAATCACAGTGTCATAGTTGGGAGGCTGTATGCAGAGCCTGTGGATATGACATCAGTTTGTGGACTAAGGTGTGCCTGATTCAGACATAGTCTTTTCAGTCACTTGCTATGCATCTGAGAGCTGGACAATGAATAAGGATTGTAGAAGAATCTATGTCTTTGAGCTGTGGTGTTGGAGAATAGTGCTGAATATCACATGGACTTCAAAAAGGACAAAGTCGGGGAGGGGGAGATAAAAAAAAAGAACCAACAGGTATGTTTTGGAGGAGGTGCATCCAGAGTGTTCCTTGCTAGCAAAGCTTCATCTCACCTGCTTTGGGCATGTTGCTAGGCAAGGCTGTTCTTTGGAGAGGGACATGATGCTTGGAAACGTGGAGGGGGTGTGTGTGTCAGTGAAAGACAGGAAGACCCTCAACCAGATGGATTGACACAGTGACTGTAGCAATGGGCTCAAGTATATGAGAGATGATGACAATGGCACAGGATAGGACAGGGTTCTGTGTTCATAGAGTCACTATGAGTCGTAGTGAACTTGACAGCACCTAACAACAACACGCAGCAGTGGTACAGCACATCCCACTGAGCTGGAACAACTGGAAGGTCAATAGTTTGAATTTACCGGACACACTAATTCTGTTTCTGTAAAGATTTACAGCTGTGGGAATCCTCGGGTGGTCCTGTAGGGTTGCTGAGTTGCAATCACTCAAAGGCAGTGGTTCTGGTTCACAGTTTGATGTGCGGAGTGCAGTCCCTTACCCCTGCATGTGTGCTTCTATGCAGCATCTCTCACCCTTAGCCAGGGTAAATTAACCAGTAAGAGCAGTACACCCTGCCTTGCATTAAGCAAGGTATTTATGGGCTTGTGTTTCCCTGCAAATCTGTGATGAACTGTTTCACATACGTTTTACCATATCTCTGACATGCAGAGGGGCAGGTGGCATTGTGCACTGCAGACTGGTGGGAAGGCTTACAGGGAATCCAGCTCTGCTTCCAGTGTGTCTCTGAGTGTATTGGGGTGAGGGGGCCCCATGGGCGAAGGAATTACTCTGCCTTCCTTCATTTCTCAATTTGGGAAACAGCCACGTAATTGTCACATCACTTGCTGTAATTGGGGCAACCAGGATGGGGACACAGTAGTGTCACAGCAGTACTGGGGTTGCTTCACACCTTGGAAGAGTCTTTGGCTCCCAGGTCCCATCTGAGTCTGAGCTTAGAGGACGGGTTAGGCAAAGACTGGTCCTCTGAAAAGTAACCCCAAGATGATGTGGCCACTGCTGGTTTGGGAGCTTGGGCTAGTTACCTGGGAGGACTTGTGTCCCGTCATAAAAGGAGGATGCAGGAAAACAGAGGTGGGCATCAGATGTAAAGTAGGGGGATTCAGAAGGACGAGATTGAGGGCCTATCTTCCCAATACAGCTCTGAGTCGCCACAACAGGAGTTCACCTCAGACCCCAAGCCACTCCAGTCAGAAGGGCTGGAAGAGTTTGACCAGCATGTGTCCCAGGACCGGTCCCTGATGGCCATGGGAATTTAAGTGCTGGGGAATAGTTGGCAGTGATGATCTCTGGGCTCCTCCATACCTGGGAGTCCGGAAGTTCTCTCATTTTTTCACAAGCTTCTCACTCGCGGGTTCAAACTGGGAAGGGAATGCGCGCCACCGCCCCGCAGCTGGGGCCACCCTGGTGGTCCCGGGGGCAAAGAAGCCCTCAGTGAACCCAGAACACACGACCACACCAGGCCCCAGAGTGCGCAGGGGACAGCCCCGTTCCCGCTGCCCCCTGACGCCAGAGTCAGCGCACAGCGGGGCCGGGCCAGAGGCCACCTTCTGCCCGACCCTTCCCGGCCTGAGGCTCTCACCTGCCGCGCCCGCGGAGCCCGCTCAGCCAGCCGGCGGACTGAGAGAGCTCAGCCCGAAGGCCCCGCCCTGCGGCCCCGCCCTGCGGCCCCGCCCACCCTCAGACCCGCCCCGCGCAGGTCCAGTCCCCGCCCCCCGCGACCTTCTCACCGCTCGTGTCCGGGTTGGGTTCCCACCGGATGTGACGTTTCGCGCTGACCCGCGAATAGGGAGGGCCTTCCGCTCTAGGGCTGGTGGACTGAGCTGGCGGCTTTCTGTACCCCAGGCGGGCGTTGTCAGCTGTGGGCTCCTTTGGCTCGGAGCATTTTCTGGGCCCCCGCCACAGCAACTTGCTCTGAGGAAAAATCCGAGTAATTTCCAAGCATTCTGCAACTTCTGGGGGCGGCAGCTCACAGACTGTGATGTTATCAGGGGCAGAAGGCAGTGCCCCGGGCTCAGTTAGGGTGCCCCGCCAGCACTGGGAATGGAAAGTTAAAGTCGACTGACTCACCTGGCTCCCGGGGTCCAGCCTTTGCGGGGTTGGACCTTCATTAGTTCAAATACTCGCAGAGCTGGTTCTGGCGCGACTAGCAAGGGCCAGAGGCTTCATTGAAAAGGAGCGGAAGAAAGAGTAGTGGGGAGAGTGGTGGGAAAGTGCACAAGATTATGGGAGACCATTAAGTAGGCGCCGAGTCAAAGGGGATTTGCATGTTTGTGAAGGCTGCTTGCTGCTCCTTGTTATGTGCCTATATACAAGAGCTCTGAACCCTGCTCTGTCCTGAGCCGATCTCGCCAATACACCTAATCCCATTCCCCCAGTCACTGAGCCAGTCTCATCCAGGGTCTTCCTCTCCTGCACTGTCCCTCCACCCTTCCAAGCACGATGTCCCTCTCCAAGGACTGGTCCCTCCTAGCCATGCATTCAACGGATGTGACATGGACTTTCAAAATCCTTGGTTTCACCTTCTCCAGGGCAGACCTGTTCTCTTGGGAGTCCAAGATATGTTCAAAACTCTTCTCCAGCACCGCTGCTCAAAGGCATCTATTCTTCTGTCAATCCTCAGTCATTGTCCAGTTCTCTGATGCATAGCAAGTAATTGCGAAGACCATGGCCTGGATCAGACGCACCTTAAGTTTCTAGACTGACATCCTTGCCCTTTTGTACTCGACATGTCCCTGAAAGCAAACTTTCCCAATCCAATTTATCCTTTAATATCCTGACTGATGGTGCCAAGAGTGTTGATTGTGGAACCAAGTAAGCGGAAGTACTTAACAATCTCAATCTCTTTTCCGTCCATCATGAAGCTGCCAGTTGGCCCAGGGGTGAGAATCTTTGTCTTCTTGATAGAGAGCTTCAATCCATATTGAAGACTTCAATCCTTGACCTTCTGCAACTAATGCCTCATGTCCTCCTCAGTTTCAGCAATCAAAGTTGTGTCATCTGCAAGTTGTTGATGAGTCTTCGTCCAATCCTCATGCCACATTCGTCCTCATAAAGTCCAGCCTCCTGAATGATCTGCTCAACATATAGATTGAAAAGATTGGGAGACAGGACACATCCCTGACACACTCCTTTCCCAATTTTGGACCATTCAGGGTTTTGATGACTGCCTCCTGGTCCAAGTATAGTTTTCGCATGAACACAAGTGTTGTGGGATTCCCAACCTCAAGGTTAGCCACAATTTGTTGTGATCTACACAGTCAAATGCCATTGCATAGTCAATGAAACACGGACATTCCTCTGGTACTCTCTGCTTCAGCTAAAAGCCATCTAGGTGCCAACAAATCTACTGTTGTTGTTATGTGCCATTGAGTCACTTGCGACTCATAGCGACCCTCTGTACAACAGCCCTAAACCCTGCTCTATCCTGTGCCAATCGCACCGCCTCTGACTCACCCATCCCGATTACCCCAGTCACTGAATCAATCCATCTCATAGAGGGTCTTCCCCTCGTGCGCAGTCCCTCCACCCTCCCAAGCATGATGTCCCTCTCCAGGGACCTCTCCCGCCTTACAATATGTCCAAAGTATGTCAGACGAAGCCCAAGAATCCTTGCCTCCAAGGATTAACCCTCTCCAGGATGAATCTGTTTGTTTTCTTGGCAGTCCATGGTCCATTCAATACTCTTCTCCAGCTCAAAGGCATCAAATCTCCTTCTATCCTCCCTAGTCATTGTCCAACTCTCTGATGCATAACAAGTGATTGCAAAGACCATGGCCTGTATCAGAAGCACCTTAGTCTCCAGAGTGACACTATAGAACACACTGATTTCACATGCAAGCAAGATTCTGTTGTTGTT